GAACTGTGAGAAATAAATGTCTGGTTTTTATAAATTACCCAGTCTCAGGTGTTTTGTTATAGCAACACAAAAGGACTAAGACAAGGTCTTTTTCCTATCTCTGCTCAGCTCTTTGAGACTCAACAGATGTAATACAGTGTGGGAAAAACAACAGTTTACTGCTGTCTGAGGTTTTCCTCACTTTGCCTCTATACACACTGCACCTCCTCATCTCTGTACTGGGTAGTTTTCTGTGACACCTCCAGGCACCAACTGGCTATAGAAATGATAGCTAATATTTACACAGTATTTACTATGTGCCAGGAGTGTTGTAAGTGCTCTTACATAGATAATTTTATCCTCACACATTCCTATGAGGTATATACTATCAGAATCATTTTATGATAGGAAACTGAGGTTCAGAGAGGTTAAGTAACTTAACTGTCCAAGATCAAAGATAACAATTAATCGGAGGAAAGAAGAGGTCACATACTAGCCTCAAAAAGGAGGGACCTACACAGTAGAGTGTGATTGTTCATCCAGTCTTGTTGTCTTTTGTAAATGTATGTAGATAAGGAAGGACAAATGGTCTTTATAGATTTCCTCTGATTCCAGCTGGTTAATACTACTGGTATTTTTTTTTTACAATTCCATTGGCTTGATAGTTGGTAAAAAATTTCCCAAGAAAGATGTTAGCAATAGGTCATCAGTCCTAGATTTGGGTGTTAGTGTGAGCATTGGTCTTTTCCTCTGTCTTTGTAGATATTTTAGGGTAAGCTAAGCGTTGGGAAAGGCAGTCTCATGTGCACAGTCTTTCCTCCCCACTCAGCCACATAAGAACAGGCCTTGAACCCAGAACACATCCTTATCAAGAGATAAAGAGCCTACACAGTTGTACCTTGTGTGGGAATATCTCTCCCTTTTCCAGGCTCAATGAGAGTTCCTTTGTTCAGCTTAAGCTGTGTCCCGGACCCTCAGGCACGTCCCCAGCTTTCAGTTTTTCAGACTGTGGGGGAGGGGTTAAGGTCCTTCTCCGGCAGCACAAGAGGGGTGCACTGAGTTGGCTGCCTGCTGGAGGGCCCTCTAGCCATGAGGAACCCTGGCACACTCTTGAAGTTGATTTTGCTGCCTCTTCTCTGTGTCAGTATTGCATCATTCCAGCCAGTACTTTCCTTGGTGACTCTGGTACCGAGACACAGTGGGCAGAGTATCTGGAGTCGTCCCCTGGAATTGATAAACAGTGTATGGTGTTCTGCTTGACACTAAGAAAAGCCAGGCTTAGGACTTGTTAGCCAGAAATCATTTTACATTCCACTTCTCAGGTAAGTCTGTTAATTTTCTGCTCAAACAAAAATTAGTTTTCTGGTTCTTTCTTACCAAACTTGAGACTAGTTGCTTTGAAACGGACTTCCTAATGGATTTTGCCATTTTGTATTTACTTTAGCAACAGAAATAATTCAAAGAAAACATTTCATTGATTTCTGAAAAGCTTGTCTCCCTCGCAAAAAGCACTTTTCTATTCACAATACATTTAAATGATCCAGAAAGATGAATTTAACAAAATCTTTAGGAAGACAGAGCAGATGAAAAAAAAAAAGCCTGAAATAATGTCTTAAAATATATTGTATGCAAAAAGCTGTCACAGGTAAAGAAACAGCTTGATCGCCCTGGAGAGGCTGTTCATTGGAGGAAACAGTTACTAGTGGGGGAAAGTATTCACCACCACCCCTCAAATATATTCTGCTCAAATTTAGAAGAGAAATTGGAAGCCAGCTAAAGAGCTAACAGCTAGAGTGTGCAATTGATGAAGCAAGATCTCTGACACACAGGATAGGGTCCCAGAAATTGCATGTTTAAGAAGCTCCCAAGATGATACCTGATAGAGTTTGAGTGTGTTGTTCCCCCCAAAGCTCATGTCAAAATCTGAACCCCAACTTGGCAATGAAATCTGGACCCCAACTTGGCAATGTTGGGAGCGGTTTGGGTCATGGGGGGTAGATCCTCATGAATAGATTAACGCCCTCCCGGTGGGGGGGGGGGCAGGGTAGTGAGTGAGTTCTCAGTTCTATTAGTTCCCACCAAAGTGGGTTATTTAAAAGGAGCTTGGCACTTCCTCCCTCCCCCCTCTCCTTTCTTCTCACCATGTGATCTTGCGCCTGCCCCTGCCTGCCATTTTCCACCATGAGTGGAAGCAGCCTGAAGCCAGCTCCAGAGGCAGCTGTCCCAGAATTGTGAGCCAAATAAACCTCTTTTCTTTATAAATTACCCTATTTCAAGTATTCTATTAGAGGGGGGGGGGGGGGGGCAGGGTAGTGAGTGAGTTCTCAGTTCTATTAGTTCCCACCAAAGTGGGTTATTTAAAAGGAGCTTGGCACTTCCTCCCTCCCCCCTCTCCTTTCTTCTCACCATGTGATCTTGCGCCTGCCCCTGCCTGCCATTTTCCACCATGAGTGGAATCAGCCTGAAGCCAGCTCCAGAGGCAGCTGTCCCAGAATTGTGAGCCAAATAAACCTCTTTTCTTTATAAATTACCCTATTTCAAGTATTCTATTAGAGCAACACAAAAACAGACTAATGCAAAACCCCTAGTTAATGAAACACTACTGTAGAGAGGAACTGAGCTGGGAACTGAAAAGATAGGCGGCTTTGATAGACAGCAGGTTTTGAATGTAAGATGTCTCAGGTAAAGCCACTCTGATGATAAGACTTGAGAGTGTGGCTGAAGAAGTGGCGTGGAGATGAAAAGGACGAGAGTTGTGAATCACAGGGCAAGGTTGCAGAACGAGATCAGCCATTTAGAAGTCCGGGCAGCTAGGAGTGTGGCAAGACTTTTAGTGGAAAGACATTTGTTGTCAAAGTCAGTAGACAAGGAGTGACTATGAAGTCTATAGGTGAAACGAGGAGGAGGAGTAGATGGTGTTATATCAAGAAGGCACACAGATCACAGGGGTGGGTATTTTTACATGTGGATGGAAGAGTGGTGATTTGGAAGTAGCATTAGAGGTAGAGAGGATTCTCAACCCTCCTGACCCAAAGGAGCGGGAGGTTCTGCAGAGGAACCAGAGAGGAAAAAACATCACTTCTTGGATTTTGACATTTCAAAAGCTCCGGTTTAGGTGTGAATCAGAAAGCTTTGAAAGAATATATAATACATGAAACCCTCTATCCATCCCCAGCTCACTCCCACTTCCACCCCTGTCTAGAGGAGAGAACTAAGATCTCCGGCTGGGGATGAAGGGAGGAAGTCACCAAGGCAAAAGAACAGACACTGGTGAATGTCTTTAAGAGGAGTTTGATATGAATTCTTTCATATTATACTTCTCTTTTATATTAAACTGTAGTTTCTGTGAAAGCAGTGAATATATTTAGCATCTTACACATCACTTGGTATACAATAAACCCTCAACTGCTATTAATTGAACTGATTCCTCAAAATGCTTTAAATTATCTCTTGCTTACAATTCTGGGTGGTTTTTTTGGACATTAAACACACTATCAATATAATGTGCGACTATATTTATCAATTCCAAACTGTTCCTATGCTTTAAACCTCCCCCAATACAGATTCTCCAAATTTCCTGAATCTCCCTACTCTCCATCAAAACCCACTTTTTAATGGAAGACTTTCCTAATTCTAGCATCTATCTTGCCAATCATTCTATGTTCTTTTGTACAAACTTTAAGCATAGTAACCATATATTTGCTGTCAGTTTCTAACATTTTCCTCATAAACTATCAATTGTCCAAAGTATGTTGGTAAGAAGAAAACAAATAAAACAAGCATTAACCAAGTATGCTTTTTGTGCTTTTTTAATCTTTGCAAGATTTTCCTTCTATAGGCATATAACATATTTACTGACTCCTATTAAGGGCCACTCTTCTCAGCACTAGAGATGAAATAGAATAAAGGATTTCCTTTACCAGACAGACCACTTGTGCAGATTTCTGAAAGAAAACATGGTCCCATGCTCCCACTTCTCAAATGGATTCAGGAAAATATACCAGAAAAGGCATTGAGGTAGAGGCCATGCATCTTTCTACTCAAAGGATGGGACAGAGGATGACATTAAAAATAGATATATCAGGGGCCGGCCTGGTGGCGCACTGCTACAGTGCACCGCTTGAGAGCGTGGTGGCGCTCCCGCAGAGGGTTCGGATCCCACATACAGACCGGTTCCCGCTCACTGGCTGGGCGAGGTGTGGGCGCGACACCGAGGGTTGCGATCCCGTTGCCGGTCCCGGTCCCAGTCCGGTATGGGCACGACACTGAGGGTTGAGATCCGTTGCCGGACAGGAAAAAAGACAAAAAGGAAAAAAAAAATAGATATATCAGGAGTGAATGCAAAATTTGTAATCAAAAATATAATGGAATTTCAAGTTGCAGTGGGCAGCTTCGAGGTATGTCCCTGGACAGTCCACCGATTTGCCTAAACTCCAAGACAGAATGATCTGTACTTTTAAAAACCCGCTCCTCCTCCGTCACTCCCAACCAGAGCTTCAACTGAAGCAAAGAAAGGCGCAGCCACGCTTGGATCCAGCATTTCCTTGACAAGGGCTAAGAGTCCAGGAAACACTGGGCACCGGGCAGTGTTTAGAAGACACCAAGACCAACAGGGGGCAAGAAAAAGGTGACATGTTCTCGACCCCTTCACACTCAGGTGCGTAGCGTCCCCTCCACCAGGAAGGGAAGAGGAAGGGGGCAGCAGCCTTCGGGCCTTGTGAGACGGCTGCTGGCGTGGGGCGTTCGGCGGGAGCGCGAGACCCTACTTCCCTCCCAGCCACCCCCGGCCGCCCAGTCTCTTCCCGCCCGGCCTGACCCGACCCGGCCGCCCGCGGGCGACGCCCTATGACGTCACCGCGTGACGGGGGCGCCGGCGCGCGAACGGCGACTGTGAGGCAGTTCGCCATGGAGACGTCTCGTGCCAAGCTGTTTTCTCCTTCCCTGCTTGTGGCTGTCCGTTGGGGTCTTTTGCTCTAAGCCGTGCTGAGGGGGAGGGCGCGGGAGGTCTCTGGCCTGACACCATGGGGGAAGGGAGAAGCGACAACTTCGACGGTGTGAGCACCGACCGCCTTAAGCTGGAGCTGCAGGAGGAAATCCACATGAAGTGAGTGGGCGGGCGGCGCGCGGCTCCCGCGCGGGTGTGGGGCCCGGTCGGCGCCCCCGGGACCCCTCCCGAGGCGTCCTCAGCGCCAGCGCCGGGTCGGGCCCC